TCCTTGGTAGGGAGGTATGTATGGCCTGCAGCACCGGAGTGTGTTTACCCCCCCGCCCCCCCCGCCCCCGGCATCCAGAAAGCAATTTGTGAACAGATGTGAAGCTGATGCCCATACCTGAGATGCCAGAAGATAGACGTTCAGGTGCTGGGCTTCAGCTAATGCAATGGCTGGCACAACCCGCCCTGGACGAGGGCACCAGGAACATTCTTCTAGCGGAGGGTGGGACACGGGCAAGAGAGATGATGTTTTTGGGAGCCTGGGCTATGATGTGTCAAGTGTCTTTGCTCACATTCAGGCTGAGGTTGCAGAGCTGCTTGGCCTGAGCCACTTGAGGCCTTCACGAAGGTAGAATGTGTCACCTAATCTGTCCAGCACTGAGCTTTCCTGCATCCTTTGCCTGGTGCCAAACTACAGGTTGTCACAGAGGAGGTGAAGAGGTTTGGCATTGAGCGAGATGAGCAGAGGTGGTGTCTGCTCACGCATGCCTCCAAGCAACTGACTGTTGATGGGATAAGAGTACAACTCCGCACCCAAAGCTTTAGCGTGCACCTAGGCAGACACGTCCTCTTCCCCTCCCATCCCCACAGCAAATTGATGAGAACCCTTCCCCAGCACCTTTTAAAAAAGAGGAAGCAGATCTGTGCAATGTGTTTGAAAATACTGAACCTTCATCCATGGTCTGCAGTTCTTGAGGACATGGCTTCAATGGGTGAGAAAGCACACTTTTTGCCAGCACTTTTGTGTGCTGCTCATGAGGAAGGGGCCGGCCAGTTTGCAGGATGTCCCTTTTTTCCTGCATCATCTGAAAAATTAAATACCCTTGTTTTTGCAAAGTGATGAGCTTTCAACAAAAGCTCTTCCCCCTCCCTCCCCCAGCCCCCTCGCCAGGACTGGTTAGAGCTAGGTGGCTAAATTTGCCAGGATGTCTTCAGCTTGTCCCAGTCCCAGCAGCTGACCGGCACTGTAGGGGAGGAAAGCAAGGCATCAGAGTGGGTCACCCAGCAGGTGAGCACAGGCATATCTGTTTAGAGACCTTGTTCCTTTTTAAAAGAAAGCAAAGAGCAAAACCTCCTTCTTTTTTTTTTTGCCTTTACCCTGGGAGGGCTGAGCAGCCTCAGGCAGCCAGGGCCCAGCAGGCAGCAGTTTTTCTGGAAGATGCACCGTGTGTTTTTGCAAATACAGAGGCCGAATGCTTCGTTTTTGTATCCCTCAAAGGGAACCACCAGGCAGCCATTGGCCTCATAACCGCCTAATAACGGCCTAATAACCTCCTGAGACTCCTTTTTTTAACAGTAAATCTTTTTTCATAAGTTTTTTTTTTTTTTTTTTTTGGGGGGGGGGAATGGAGAGGGAAACCTTACTTGCATACCTCAGTGGCTTTTTTTCTTAGGCTGCCCCTGCACTTTTGCTTTTCAGGTCCCTGCCGCGTGCAGGGCGCATGCCTGCCCCCCGCCACAGCGGCAGCAATTACCCAAGTGCTTCCTGGCTACCTTTAATTACACCCCCAAACTATTTTCCTCATTGTGATGCCTCTAAACACCAGCAAGGGTTTGGGCCCCGTCCCGCAACGTGCTGGGCTGACGCTGTGTGCTGGCAGCGGCTGATTTAAGCACGAAGGGCTCATACGCGCCTCGGTGAGTCAGGTCGGCTTTGCAGCCCTCCGGGCTGTTAATTGCCGGCACCGGGCATTAGTTCTCGCCCCCGGAGAGCCAGCTAAGAGAGCAGGGACTTTATAGTTCGGGAAGGACAGCCAGGTCTGGCACCGCTGGCCTGGCGGCAGTGCATCTTACTGAAGCAACAAAAAAAAAAACCAAACCAAACAACCCTTCCCCCCCCACCCCCCAACTTTTCGTGCTTGTAACGGGTACTTCTTAGCAGCAGTCGTGCTGCTGTTGTTGTCATCAGTATTGAAACCCACTGTATTTCTGGTCACAATATGCTGCTGTCAGTGACTTCTAACTGGCTTTGGCTTTGCCAGAAACAAATGCAACAGCTGCTGGGCTCAGCCTTGTGAGGCTGCGATCTATAATGTGCATTGTCTTTTTATGTAATGTGTTTTATTAAACATCTTCTAAAGCTTACAAGTGTCCCCAGGACATAACTCTCCAGCGCAAAGTAATGCTCTGCCAAGTAATGAAGTATGATTTATGGCGGTAACGGTTATCCTATGTTTTTTTAAAAAATTATTACAGCAATAGCTCTGTCGAATACAGGAATATAACATGCTGCATTTGGCACGTTTATGACAACAGTGCTCTGGTTTTCTTAACTCCACAGTTCTGTGTTGGCAGTATTTCAAATTCTTGAGACAGATGTTTAAACGAATTTTAAGAGGACAGTGAAATACTTTTAAAACATCATACAGTGTTGAGTGCCTCAATATGAAAAGGAACATTATTTCTTTAACATTCAGGTAGGGAAGGACAGCACATGGCCTTTCTGTTTTAGATCTCACGGTAAATGATGGAAGTAGCAAATGTTGAATTAGCTTTCTGAGGCATCCCAGCACATTGTTGCTTTTTGGCTGAGGTTGTGGTGGTGGTGGTGGGGCGGGGGGAGGACACTTGACCTTTTTCTAGGCTGCGTTCATATGCACATCTCATTTGCGAGCGGTGAAAACAGATCCACATTTGTTTTGAATGCAGTTCCCACCATGTTGATACAGGACTAAGTGGTCTCATGCTGACATTTTGTTTGTGTCATTGTGGTCCCAGTGGTTACAGTTTCAGGCCAGAAATGACAATCATTTGGAAAAATGTAAACGAGAGCCCTGGTTACCTCTCTGAGCGGCAGACAGCGTTCACGTCTTTCCATCAAAACACCAAGAATTCTAAAAAAGGTGCTTTTTTTTTTTTTAAAGGGATCGATCAGAAATTGAGAGAGCGCCTTAACGAACAAAACAGGGTGCTGGGCTCTGGTGTTGTCATTCGTTAACTTTGAACCGTGGAAAATCGGAGCCCACAGAGGCAGAAGTCAGCACTGTCGGAGACATCATCGCTGTCAGCGTACGCTGGGTTTGCGGCGGCGGCGCCGCCGGGACGGCGCTCTGGGACCGACCGCCCTGTGCGTGCAGCCAGTGTAAAGATATTGAAGACAAGTGAAGCATCAGTAAAGCAATGAACACTTATATTTAATTTACATTTGACAATTTGCACATAAATAATGATGTAAACCAATACGTAAACATATGATAGTTTGTTGTTCTAGCAAAGTAAAAAGCCTGTTAACTTTGGTCAGAGTCTTTCCGAGACAAAAAAAAAACCCCAAAACACTGTTGATTGATGCTACATTCACATGTAAAACTTCTAAGGGAAGGGGGAAACAGTAAAGAGAAGTAACAATTCTTAAAGCTGATGCATATAAATTCTTGTAAAATTTGTATCAAATACAAGAAAGCACTACAGGCAAATAATAGGAAAAGTGTGTGTCCAGTGACAGAGTAGTGATACTTTGGTTTATCCTACAGGTAAGTACTATACTTATGAACTATTGCTACATTTAAAAGATGTCAGCCTCACAATTTGCAGGAGTGGAAATGTAATGAACTGTAGTCCTTCAAAAGCTGTGGTGAGAGACTTAGATGTCAGGATTGTCTTTAACAGAAGGCATTAGAATGAAGTTTACAGAAAAAAAAAAAAATCACCAAATCCTGGACTGATGAAGTGGGCTATTCTTAACATTCTAATTTATAAGAATATAAACAGACAAAAAGATATACATGGAGGGAAAATGTGTAATAATGCTACTTATATTTACGTGAGTTGACCATGCAACTCTTTTAACGGCCGGGTAAAATGAGACTATGCGCTCACCCCAACTAACTTGAACTCTACCCTTCATTGTGTATTGTACTTACACCACACATGGGTAATATTTGGCTTCTTTTCAAGTTCTTTCAGTTAAGTTTTCTGGCTGCCTGTTCACTGACCACCCTCCTCCTTCCCCCCAGTATACGTTGCCAGGAGAGGGGGGGACCGAAGCCCCCGGTCCTGCAAACATGATAATTCCCACTCAATTCTTTGAGACTCCACGCGTGCGTGGAGTTATTCACATAAGGTGTTTGCAAGTTCAGGCTTCACATGGGCAACTGTGCCATGTGCACTTGCAAGTGATAAATGCCTTAGCACAACCTTCTGGTTTTGAGGTCACTGGTAATATGCAAAACTGGATAACATTTGATTTTCACACTTAGATGAAAAATAGGTTTTATTACATGGTTTGGCTCACAACTTAAGTGGTATAAATATATATACATATACATATATAGTATAGTGGTATAAATATATCTATAAATATACATGTATTCCTTGCTACACCTCAAATGTCACCATATTGTCTTTGGGCTTAGCAAAACAAAAAGATAAAAGGACGTGCATTCTATCTTTCCCTGTGCACATTTTGGTTTCTTCTCTAAAGTAGCAAAGCATTTAGATAAAACAGCATTGTCTGCACCACTGGACACAAGCACTGAGGTAACTGTTGTTCAACAACTTTGCAATGCCCTTTTCATCTTTAATTAAATTAACCACAAAATGTACAAACACAAATACTGAGAAAAATCTGAGTCGTACAGAAAGGAAGAAAAAAAATGTATGTGCCAGAAAAGGACTTTGTTCCCCACTTCTACCCAGGCAAAGTGGGAGAGGAAAATACAGATTAAAAACAAATCCCTTATTTCTCAGGGAATCTGACCATCCTTTTTATCCCTGGAAGGCTCTGGCAAAAAAAAAAAAGGGAGGGGGAGGGGAGGGGAAGAAAAAAAGTCTGCCAAAAAACTTCTTTTAAGAGAATATTAAAAATATTTGCGTGTTTGTTTTTAGACTGCTTTTGGAAATAAAAGAATTTAAATGATTATTTTTTTGGAAGAGCCACTTCAAGCAGATGCATTCCTTTGGTCATAGAGTTACATGACAACGTGTGGGGCTATAGCTGTCTTCTAAAAACCTAATGTATTTTGTCCATGGCAAGTAGGCGTTTGCTGCGCCCCATCTGTTCTGGGTACAGCTGCAGGTAGAAGAATCTCTCTCCTGTCCCCGGAGAGCCAGGGGTACTAGTTTCTTCTCTGCTTGCTGCTACTGCCTTTTTTTTTTTTTCTTTCTCCATTTTAATTCGCAATGGGGTGATTTGCACATAAGAGTACACAGCATGTTTTTCAAACCAACTGATCTAGGATTCTGTATGTCAAATGTCCAACTTTGGCAATACAAAAACCCACATTTGTTTAAAAGACATTGGTACATAAAACACATTTACTAAAACCCTAATCTTAGGTTTTTAAAACAGATGTGCAGAAAAAAGTATCTACAAAGAATGGCCATAAAACAAAAAAATAAAAACATTTAGAGTAAAAATTACAATGAATTTTCCAGTCATTGTAAACATTTTTCTAATTATTGCTTTTAGAATGATAAATTGCATAATAAATTATGAAGTACTATCATTGAAAAAATAATTATGGATAGATGATGATTGTCTTTTATTAACTGGCGAGGCAATGCACAGTCCTTTGCCTCTTTTTATGCCCTGAGAAAACAGTAACTTTGGAGTTCCGTCTTTCAGTTGGAGAACGTAGGGAAACTACTGTAAGCCAAGATTGCTTTGCAGCATTGAAACTATGTACAAGCAACTGCTACAGGCACCCTGACTTGCCAAGTCATAAATAAAAAAAAAAAAATCACTTTGCCAAAAAGTCTTAAGGGTCCATTGGTTCAACTGTTTCTTGCTTGACCTTTACAGGTAACAGAGGTAGTGGGTGACCGTGAGGCAACTTCATAATTGACATATCTGAAGACTCGTAAAGGTTGCATCCTGAGGAGATAAGTCCATTTCCCAGGTTCCTCTGTAAAGATACTTTCAGATTAGCGCCTTCCATTTCCCTTCTGAGCATGGTCAGTATATCCTTCTCCACGATCGATGTTAAGTCGATATTGTCCTCCATTTCTTCCAGCTTGTCGGCATTGTCACTGACGTCAAACTTTTCTATCTCTTCGTTGATTCGATTCAGGTTCTCCATGGAGAGGCCGGAGGCAGGAGCTACAGGGCAGTTGCCCTTCAGATGGACCTGGAGGCTGCAGAGGTGAATGTAGCTCTTGTGGCAGTGGATGCATTTATGTGGATGTTCACGGGTGTGAAGACGCTTGTGCAGCTTCAGGTGCACAAACTGGGTGAATTTGGCTGGGCACAGCTTGCACTGGTAAGGCTTCTCTCCAGAGTGGAGCCGCAGGTGGGTTTTGAGATTGCTGGTGCTGCTGAATCGCTTGTGACAAACCTAGTGCAGGGGGGCGGCAGAAAAACAGTGAATGAGTGGGAGGGGATTTTATGTTTTAAATCACAGACACCTAGGAGGAGATGGCATGATGAAGCAGCAGCTTTTTATATCTTTACACTTTCTCACAAGGGGTAAAAAATCCCCACCTCTTTTATTTAAATTTTGCTGAATAGCGTTTAAGGTATGGCTGGCGTGGCAGAACTGAATCGGGCAGATGCTGCTCTAGCAGGCAAAAGGCAACCACGTTGTCTCACAGACACTTGGCATGCCAGGGCTGGAGGCTGCTGTGATACAGACTTGACTCTTGAGCAGCCGTTGTTCTGTCACGCAACCCGCTGCACATGCCACGCTGAGTGTGCACACGGGACGAGGAGGGCACAGGCCCTACAGTCCCTTTGGCCTCCGAGATAAGCTGTCCCTACGGTGTGTTACATACCTGACACTCGTGGGGTTTTTCTCCTGTGTGTACCAGATAGTGCTTCTGGAGGTGCGCCAGCTGTGTGAAGCCTTTATTGCAAGTCTGGCATTTAAACGGTCTCTCTCCGCTGTGTACTCGGAGGTGGACCTACGGAGAAACAAAGCGCTTAAACTTGCAGTTCTCAGTAACCATAATGAAAGTACCTTCAAGCGTTTCCTAAAGTTAGCAGAAGCCACCCCACTGCCAAAATAGACTATGACCCAGTTAATTAGCTGGCACCAATTCTAAAACATTGTCTTTACAACCATGCTGTCTTGGCAGGGGATGTGGAATAAAGCCCAAACTGATAAATAGCCTAACCAAGAAGAAAGGCCTGTCCCTGCTTTTCCTAGATAACCTATAGGAGGAAACCAGAGCCTTCCAAGAAGGCTCATATGTCTTATCCTCCACTGCCTACCTTCAGATTGGAGAGCTGGCCAAAGGTCTTGGAGCAGACATTGCATTCATACTTGATCTTCCCGTTCTGCTTCTTCAGTGGGTATGGAAGGGTTTTGTAACCGGTCACATTCCTCTTACTTTTAATAAGATTCATGGCTTCTTCATCTTTTTAAAAAATTTCAGGGCTTCTCCCCCGCCGGTGGCAGCCAACACCACTGAGGTAGGTTTAGGTTGCATTATGTGTTCTGAACTGGCTGCTGTACCAGCGGTGGGCGACCCGCTGGTGGGGCTGCATGGCTTGTCCTTCATGCTGGCAGCAGCGCCCGTGATAGAGAAGGCACTGTTAGGTGCTGGTATGAGGAAGTCTCTTGGATGATCAGGCTGCAGCAGTCGACGGCCTCCTTCGCTGGGCAATGAACTGGGGAGCGTGGCTGGATTCAACATGTGGTGGGAAAGACTACCTCCACTGAGCAGGTTGCCATAAAGAGGATACATCCTTGGGAAGAGACTGAAATTGTTGATGCCATTGATATTGTTCAAAGCGCTCAGGTTATTACAGCTCATATTGAACGGAGGTAACAGGAATTTGGGGTAGTGGGGGTTATAGGATGGGAGAAAGGCAGACGGGAGATGGCTGGGGGGTGCGTATCCAGGATAAGACCCCAATCCTTCTGAGCCGTATGAGCCATTCACGTAAGAGTATGACTCTCTGTGCTCTTGGGAAGTAGGTGCCAGAGGTGAAACTGTGACCCCTGGACTGCTGTGAGGGCTTGAACTTTTTAAACTTTGGTCTGGGCTGCTCCTCCCAGAAGGACTCGGTGTAGTAGATGACTGGATGGGTGAGTGAGTAATGTAGCTGGGTCTGTCCATCCCATACGCTAAGGAAGCTTTCAGATAGTCTTCAGGAACGTGAGGTCGGATAGGATAGACAACTCGAGGGAAGAAACACCTCTCAGGGCTATAGTTCCTGCGCAAATCATCCAAGTCTTTTTCTGGAGCAACTGGTGAAATGTTGGTCTGGAAGAAGTCTTTTCCTTTCGGAGGGTTGGATTCCATTTTCAGGATTTCTTTCACACTGTGCTCCTTCTTTGGGATGCTTTTCTGACAGAGCTCATCTTTATCAGCACTGTGCTGCTTTGGATTAACATGGGTTTGTGCTAAAATACAAAGACAAGGTAATGATTATTTAGATAAGCCACCACAATTACCTCTTTTCAAAACACAATCTAACTCCTACAAATTTACTGGGAAGGAAGGGCCAGTCTTGGAGGTGAACAATCACTTAACTCGCCAAAAAATTAACTGCTGTGGAAAGAAATGCCTGCTGATATGAAGTGTTAATCAAAAGCATTGTTAATTTAAGGGACATGAGCCAGTATATACAGATCTGGAGGATGATTCATTTGCAGAGTGATAGTCTCCACTTTGCAAACTGATTCCACCTTTCCTTTCCCTTAAATTTGCCTAGATTCACTGTTGATTATCTATATAAGCTGTATATCTAATAAATGAAGTAACAAGCATTTGTTCACAATACAGGTTTAACAGAAAGCCTGTGCAGAACGCAAGCTCCCAGAAATGTTTCTCACTAAAATAACAAGGCATGACAAATCAGCTTTTGCCAAACCACAGCAGTCACTTCACCAGCCAGTTCAATTACTTACAGTACCAAAAAAGCCATGGCTGGCTAGGATGAAAGCCTTCTTCAAAGAGAAGGTATTCTCCATCAGTAAACAGATCATTACTCATTAAATATACTGCTTAGGAACATCTACAACAAAGCAGACTATTTACTGCAGATTTCTGTGGCATTCAGTCTATGCAAAACTCCTCTGCTTACAGCTGTACTTTATAAAAAAAAATATGCTGAAGCAAAGCAAAAGAAAGCAAGAATAGCTGGCCCCAGCTTAAGCTGAAATGTACTTAAAAAAAAAAAAAAAGAAAAAGAAATATGCATTTAGAAACAAACACAAGCTAGCATCCATTTGGCTCAGCTCAGGACATATACTGTTTATTTGTATTCAAAGACTCTACCTTGTTATCTGGACATAATGTAATACAAACACTACATTGAAAGATGTATACAACAGAAAAAGAATCCTGCTTTTATCTAATCTCCTAAAGTTAATAGTTATATAATCTTGGAATGATTACTGGTGAGATATTTTATTATAGGGGAAAACAACTACAAGAAGGTTTCATATTTGTGGTTAGTTATGCACAAAGCTTTCCATCAGGAGGTACAAGTCACCATAGGTAGGTATATGACTCAAAAGTTTTTATCCAGACTTCTACTTTTGTGACTGACTCCTCTTACTTCGCTAAGCAGGGTGAGAAACAGTTGTTTCTAATTTCTGGAGGACCAGCTAAACCCTGCAGGGAAGATGGAAGCGGCCGCTTTCATCACAGATTCTTTGCTTCGCTATTCACTACCCTCACAGAATCTATCGTTTGGCAACATTACCCTATAAGGCAAAGAAACAGCCATTTATTAAACGTATCCAAGAAAACAGCTGCTTTCAAAGCATGCTCCTAACTCACAGCAACTTGCTTTTACAGTAGTGTATTTTTTCCAAGAGCGTTAGACTAGTAGCGAGCAAATTCAGTGACGTGGGCAGTTTGCATCTTTTGACGTTGCAATGAAGCGCGATTGAACACAGATATGTGCAAGGAAAATATTTATGATGAAATATGTGGTATACTACATACAAACACATGCTGCACACATAGGTGTGCAGACAGCTTCCCAATTGCTTTTCTAGGTATTGAAGTATAATTCAGAGCTGCTGCAAAGATAACTGAATAATGTATCATGTCGTCTGGTACGAGAAATCATCTACTTTCATTTGCGATTTTGCTTGTACTCACAAACTAATGGCTAATTCACTAAATCCCCACCCAGATTTTAGGGTATAGAGCATGTAGGTCCTGCTAGGTTTAAGTAGCTCCACAAGTGTGGAGCGGGGAATATTATCTTCATCTTCTTATCAGCTGCCTGTCACCGTGCCAGCGTCTCAGAGCAAACATTCCCGGTGACACTATCAGCAGCGAGGGCTGACCGGGAAGCATCGAAAGCTGCGCAGGCGGGAGGCGGGGGGGCCAAGAGGGACCCGGGAAGCCCCGGAACAGAAAACATAAATAAATATCACCTTATCAGGCCCATATCGGTTTCTCAGTGGGGTCTGTCAAGCAGGAAGTTCAAATCGACACTTTTCTTTTTAAAAATAAATAAATAAATCAATGAATCCAGGGGGAGGGGAAGAGGAAGAAGTGCCAACGCCGTAGGAGAAGCGATACAGAAACTCGGGCTGCCCCTGCGGGAGGAACGGCTCTCGCCGTGACGAGGTTAAACATTTAGGGTGGGGAACGTACGTGCCTTATGTGCAGGAGCCAGCCTTTGAGTGACAGAAAGGAAGCTCACGCAGAGCATATAACTTTCTGCACACAACCGCCTGACGTCCCCCTGTGACAGACTAAAAGATAATTGCCGCTTCCCTTCAGGGTTCCCCGTAAAACCTCCCCTCCTATTAATTTCCATGTGCGGACAGAAATCGCAATACTTAAAGGTTGTTTTTCACGTCTAACCGTGACGGATCTCTCTAGCTTCTGCGTTAGCTTTGCTCCATAAATCCCCACTTGATTTTTTCCCCCCCATCACCTGAGCACGGGGAACACCAGAGAGCTCAGGATATATAAAGGAGGGTGTCAACGCTGTGCAAAATAAGAGACGGTAACGTCGGGGGCCAAGGAGGTGTTCTTATGTCTTATACTGAATGTGGATTAAAACCAGGGCTGAACCTGACTCAGAGGTTTACGACCCTTTTTGTTGCTCTGAAAGAAGCCATGCTTCAAAGTTAAAGAGAGAGATTTCTTACAAACGGATTTTTTAACTTGTGATTTTAGATTTCAGTTCTTACTGGTCACAAATGTCTCTCTCTTGAAACGTGTTTCTCTCTCTCTCACTCCATATACATACATGAGTATACATATACGATAAATACAGACACACGCTTCTCCAAGATCTGTCTAGTTTCTGTGGAATAGACACACAGAAAAGGGGTCCATGGCAAAACAAGAACAGTGCAATTGCATTTGTCATTTACTGATCTGAGAAAGAAAAAAAACCAGCCCGTGTCTCTTTAGGAGCCTGAACTGCTCGTCACCGAGGTCAAGAGATATGTGCTCAGATCTGAGATTAGTGAACGCGTGCAAGAAAAAAAGGGACAAAAACTCGTGTAAGTATGAACAAAACCTGAGCGGAGGGGACGTCTGAAGTCACTCTAACTTAAATATAGATGTTCCAGTCACAACCTGCTGCATAGCTGTTGGTTTTGCTCTCATTCTGACGCTTCTAGCTGTAGCCTGAGAAAGGCTTTGCAAAAAACAAAGATCTGTTTTTTTCTAAAAACTTGAAAAACGGTTGTAGGCAGGCAGTAATTTCAATAGTAATTTCAAGAGTGAAATGGTACTGAACACTTTGAGTGGCAAAGCTTAATTATGCCGATTCACATTTTCGATCTAAATTAAGAACCTTCTTTGCTAGTAGAAAGAGAACCTAGAAGTTGTGAAGCAGGCAAAACAAAGAGTGTTTCCACTCAAAATGAGAATGGAGACCAGCATTTAGAAGTATATAATTTGATCATCTGTTTTCTGTGTCCAAGGCAATGTGTCATGACTTTGAAAACATTTTGCTCAAAGAAGGTCTTTAAAGGATCCTTCAAATAATCCTCAATATTAAGTCAAATTTAGCCCCGAATTCTGATTTTATGAAAATAATCTTTTATGTCATCTAAAAATCATTTGCCTGTGCCCTTTTGAAGATTCCAATAGCCTTTTTTTTTTTCTTAAAACAAATGCAGATGTTTCCTCTTAACCCAAATAGAAAAGCTTTTAAAACCAGAAAGTGAAACCGGCCATAAACAAAAGGGAAAACAACTAGTATATTTTATCTAAGGACAAATTTATGAGGCCCAGCACGAAGAATAAAAAACAAATCACATTTTTAAAATCAAGCACTGAAAAGTTCATCTTGCTAGAATCTGAAAGATTTTTTTTAAATATCCCATTAGAATTGTTTATAAAACAAACAAACAAAAAAATCAGCAAATGTTTAAGTATGCAAATTATCTGCTCCTAACTCTAACTTTTTTCTGAAGCTTGACCAAAATAAGTTGTCACCTGCCTGCGCTTGACTGATGAGACAAATATGCCATGAATAGCAGGAAGTTGCATCACATGATTGCCATACGTGAACATTATTATCAGATAGCCATGTTCTGAGTCAATGCATATGTATCTTTAAAAAAAAAAAAAAAAAAAAAAACCTTTTACCCTCTCCACCCTGTATCCCAAAATAATGCTGCTTTCATGAGATAGAAATGAAACACTAGACTATGCGGAACCCCTAAGCAAACTTCCTGGTTTGTCTGCTAGTCCAAATGCCAAGAATATTAAAGACTAACAGACAATCTGGAGGCATGATTAAATGAGGTTAAGCATCTTTTAACAGATTATTGAAAATTAATGTTTTTGCCAGCAGAAAGCAAAAATCTTGTGCCATCACACTTGAAACCATTTACTGGACAATGGCACCATCTGAAGGTGATAAATCTCAAATCTTGACAGAAAACAACATCAATAGCCTCAAAAAGAAGGAAAATGGAATTATTTAAAATGAGAATCAGTTTCTTTCCCCGCTATTATGTGGAGTCTTGATTCTATAAACATTGTGCAACTCCTTGCAGGCACTTTAGCATGTACTCAAAGCTCCAGTGGAGCTAACAATGGCCATGAAGGTAGGTGTGTGCTTCAGCGTCTGAAGGACTGGGTCAAAGGCCCCAACTCAACAAAACACGGAGAACAGGGTTAAACCCATAACTAAGTACATGCCCAATTGCTGTCTTGAATTTGCATGCTTTCCTTCTGCTGCACAAATGAATTAATGCTAGAGAAGTTACCTTTAATTTGAAAGTTTGCTGTTATAGAGGCAAGTAGATGTTATATGTGGACGTGTAAATATATTTATGCTCTGAAGTGGCAGTTCTCATTTTTGAGGCTACTAATTACAGGAAATAAAGCCAGAGAAATTCTCTGATACATTTTCCCTGGGGGCCCAACCAGCTTGGGCACGTACAGAGGAACATTTAGTGCTCAAGTTCAAGAGACTGATCCCCAAATCCCTGAGGTGCCTAAAGCGACTGCCTATATTTTACCTGGTAAAATTCAGGCACCATTGGCAGTTCTTTGTCGGCGCGTGCCTCAGACGGCCTCTGCCCTGCCAGGGCTGGCGGTCAGTCCTGGTTCTCCCAATGTCTCTGACGGGCACCAGCGCTTGCTACACACCCAAGACACACCAGCAGGACTGAGTCGACACAACATACCGCGACCACGGCCACGTCTGATCGAAAGCCTGAGGGTGCTGCTGCCCCATGTTCATGCTGTGCCCAGCTGACGGCACAAGTCCCACCAAGAGGGAGCCTGGACGCCAGCAGCCCGTCCCTCTTGGTCTGGAGGGGCTGGACCTCAGTTCTCCCCCCCCCGCTCTCAGAGCGGGCCAAACTGCCCAGCTAGCGGCTGGGAGAAGGGCACTCTCTGCTGCTCCTCCTACAGAAATTGTTGCCCTTTACTCACAGAAAATGAGTGATTCATTAGGCTGGAGAGGGCCTTACTCTCTAGCATGGAGGCTGGAGCACTGATCTCTGACTCAAAGATTGCTTTAAGATGTTTTGATGGGAAAAAGCCCTAAGTCTGCAGCAGGGGCAGCTTTAACAATTCAAGGAAAAGTGCTCTGAGTTTTATTTGCAGCTGAACACAGTGTGAGGACACCGTGGTAAAGCTTTCTTTTCTCGGAAAGAACAGTTGGAGAGGTAGTGGGAAACTTGCTAGTTTGGGATTTATTTAGACGTAGTAGCCTAGGAGGAAGAGGAAGGAGAAAGCTGAAGGGCTCTGCCAGCCAAACAGTGCCGACATTCACTTTAAGCTCATTTGGTTCCAGTATTAACGCTGGGAAAAAAGTCCCCGTTTGCACTGCAGCTACAGTCCTTCAGGGTTTGTTACAAAGACAAGGGAAAAATACAAAAAAGAAATGAGAGCTGTTGCTGGCAGTGGAAAACAAATTAAAAAGCCAAAGAACTTTTGTCCATTTCTCTATGCTGCTATGTTCTTGGTCTGCACGTTAACATAAAATATCTAAGTGGTTTACGTGGGATAATTTTTTAAAAGTAGAAGGGATGCTTCAATCTTTGTGTCTGCAAAGACTGTTCTTTCTACTGTCACGGCTGAAACACACAATTCTTACAAGATCCAGTCTGTTTTAATCCACTTATTAAACCTACTTTTACTAAAGAGGGATATTATTCAGACACACCCAGTTTTCACCTGAATAAGAGCTACCAGTTAATTTGTTGACACTTTGTGAATACACGCCTTACTACTTGTGGAAGGTAACTTCAGATACCAGCAGATGCAGAAAACTGAGAATGTATCTGGGTATCCACCCAGCTAGTATCCAAATGGGTCTGTTTAGCACTTTGCAAACTGCTGGTTCACAAGAACGTTTAATGCTATTGACCTGTCCCACCGAAAAGCCAGCAGCTCATCATACCAGGAAATAAACTGCACAGAGAGTGGTGAAACGACATACAAACAAAAATGACAAAATCGGTGAGATATTTTGGGAATAGAGAACATAGCAGCATAGGACACCTCTCCCTCTTTTCCGCCTATATTAAAAGCCAATTTTCTTCTGTAATTTGTTACATTGGATAGGGAAAGGAAAAGACAAAAACTGCAGAAAGGAAGATGTTCACGGAGGACCGAGGTACTTGCGATTAATCTGAGTCTGTGACATCGCTTTCATGATGTAAGGTCACATTTTAGAATGCTCTGCTCTATCTCAGACCAGCTAACAGGAGGGGAGGTAGCCTGGGAGTCGAACGAAAGTCCACAGGAATCGCTCCCTCTGTTCAAGGGGCTCTGGGTGACATGCTGTGCAGAGATTAAAGTAAAACACTGAGGCTGGAAATGGTCAGAAACCACAGCAGAACCCAGAGATAAACTCCTGGAAATACCTCTTCCCCCTGCTAATAGCTGTTGCCATTATTTTTGAATACAAAATGAAAGCTGAAATATACAGCTGAGAAATAGGGACAAAACATACTGAGCTTAAAAAAATAAGTAAGCAGATTAGAAGACCACATGGGGTTTGCTCCCGTAAGAGAGATAACCTTAGATGCAAAACTTGAAGAACATTATACAGTCAACATTTATTTTTCCAGACACCTAGACAGAGTCATGGCGAATGGCCACTTCCGCGTGCAGTAAGGGCAGCCCTTTGGGAGCATGACTGGACAGCCTTTAGTATATGCTGTCAAAGCAGATTTTTTGTTCAATGCACTACGAGATCTCGACTTTGAAAGTCTGAGGGTGAATCAACATCTGTGATTCTGAAGGGAGAGGATATATTTGGGCTGCTTGTCCAGAACTTCATCAGGTAACGCTCAGATTATAAACCAATAACTGTTTAAATTTAAACAGGCACAGGGAACTTACTCTGCTGTTTTTTTTTTAAATCTCTTCTTTCCACTCCAAGCTACCTGCTGTGACACAGCAGACGGTGCAGCTATGTAATTATACAACTTATTATTAGATCATATAGGCAGAAGAGACATTACTAGCATTCTTTGTTCATACAGTAATCCACTTACTGAGGTTCATCATCGTCAGCTCTCTGGAAGAGGGGTAGTGGAGCCTCTCTGCAAAGTCCCGACAATACCACACGAGCAGCTCCTGGTTGGCAGGGATGGGCTTGATGGTGTAGAAGTAGATGTTCATTCCATTCTGACAAGCAGCCAAGTTCTGCTCCTGGACAGAGTAGCCTGGGTTTACATAACGCATCCAGTTGCTCTTGTCCTCATTAAATCCATCAATGAAGTGGTGAAGCTCACCATTGGAATAGATCTGGGATAGAGAGGAAGTACATGTGAATATATACATATGCATAATACACAACACACGCTCATAGAGTCCAGAGGGGAGAGGACAAGCTTTTAAAAGAAAGAAAAAAAAAAAAGAAAAAGAAAAGGATTAGGATTACTGAAATAACAATTCAGGCTGAGTCTCTCTTTCCAACTACGATTTCCTCTGCATTAAGAAAAGAAATGCTTATTCAAAGGTTAGTACACCGTTACCTTTTCCATTTCTGCTTAGCCTGTGTGGCTGTGCTAGGACACATACAACCGAGACACTCGCAAAAACTGAAATGAACAGTCCTCTCCCTGCATGAACAGTCTACCTCGGAGTCCTTCTCCTGGTGCTACGACCAACAAGTGGGTGATGCTAATGACTGCAGGTCTGAGTGCATGCTTGCATTAATGCTTTGAGTCACCTGTGTATAAGACTGAGCGGCGGCTGTGCTACGTCAGAGTCTTTCTCTCCTTTTTCTATGGCCTCTGTACTTGTAGTTTCCTACCACCCCCGCCCAAAGGTTTAAACTATGCAAACATCCCTCCACCCCCCCCGAGAGTCCGAAAGGAGCGCTTGCTCATAGTTGGACTGTAGCCCTTGTGTAGAAAGGCTGGGCGAGGCAGAGATGAACTTCACCTGCCATAACTCAGCGACGACCTGGACCTGGAGAGGGGCCAGGCGATGAGAAGTCACTTTTCCTATCAAGGGACGCGCTCTGGCTTGCCCGCAGAGGGGAAAGAAAAAGCCCGTTCAAAAACTGCTCAGCAACTTGTGGGAGAAAGGAGCCCAAACCGCCGACAGAAGCTACTGTTGCTCAAAGTGGGAAGAAGGAGGGAAGTAATTAAAATTAAAATCTACCAAATTCAGCAAATACATTCGTTAGAGAAAAGTCCATGCTTAACGAAAGGGAGGCCTTTCGGTTTCACACAATAAATGACCAGGCACAAGGCAGACCTTAAACAGGAGCAATCTGCATCAGCGATGAATCTCTCTGAGCAGGAAATGCCTTTCTAAAGCGCAGATACAGCTTATCTCAACAAGAAAAGCTCTCTGCGGTGTGTCCCTGCCTTTGTGCTCGCACCACTTTCTTTTTTTATTTGATGAGCGAGCAGTCACCGGCGAAACCGGGCCCGCTCTCTTTAAGGGGATAAAAAGAGAGAGACAGGCCGAAGGGGAAGGCAGGCTGGCCCTTTAACGTGGGCAGTAAACACCAGAATCACTTTCTTTAAGAGTAACTTCCTGTAAACTGAGAAGGGGGAAATACATGTGGCCTCATCAAAGAGGCTTGTGAGAGATTTTGCGGTGTGTTTGTTATGAGAAAATGGAACGGAGCCGGGTGAATTCTGCTATCAAGAGGAGTTTTTTCAAGTTTCTGTGTTTACTCGGCAGCGCAAACTTCCAGGAACGCGGGGCTCCAGCGCCGCGGCGCCCGCTGGAAGCTGCTTTCTAAAGCTGCCCTCGATGGTTGCCCTCGACAGCTTCCAGGCACCCGGCCGGAGATAGTGCCATTTACTGTACTTCTCTTTTCAGAAAAAGGAAAATGCATCAGGGCTCTGAGGTCACGCACACACACACACACACACAACGCCTCCGTGGGACTGAATTCTGCCATCTCACTAGGTTTCCACGTATGATCGAGAAGATTAAAGCAAACGTGCTGAGTCACGGCACCCTTACGAGAAATGATGTCACCGCGGGCCTTCGTGCGCGGGACGTTTCCCCCCTCGCGCGCGGGACGTTTCCCCCCCTGCGCGCAGCAGATGGGCCTCCGCCTGCCGCCGAGCCCGGCCTGCCTTTAATAACATGTGAGAAGTTATCTCCCACAATTTCCTTTGCATATGCAAGCCTGCTTGGGACCCTTCGGAAGGGACTCGTTTTCGTTGCAGCCGCGTGTCTTGAATGAATCAAGGGATTATGGCAGCAGATTTAATGACGTTTAGATGACTCCTACAATATTATTTCCGAGGATCTCTCTGCATTACGGCTTAAAATCACATCATGAAAATGATGTCATCTTTCTCACTGCGATATATGAATAAAGTCCTGCAAGATGGTTAGCAGCCCTTCTTCCTAACATCTGCTGAATTATTAACAACCAGTAGGGCTAGGCCAGCGTAGTGATCGCGTCCCACGCTGGGCACAAGCTCCCGAAAACTTGAGCAAAAAACAAAACAAAACAAAAAAACTTAGCCTTATGAATGTGAACACAGTTGCACGCTTTGTGGAAGTGTCCACGCAAATAACTGCCTGTGCAACGCTGTGTAACATCGCACGAAGACAATCTGAGAAACCCCAAATGATGCAATTAAGTGGGAGGACAGGGATGGGGGGAATGCTGGGTCCTGCCCTGGGTTTCACCTGGATATGAGGTTGGGATATTGGTAAGGCAGGCGCCCGGGCACAGGAGCTTGGATATACTCCCAAAGCCACTGATTTAGACACAACCTGACTGACTAGGTGGCGGCAAAACAAATCCATGGAAGGAGATGGGGCTGAAGGAATGCTCTCTAATAATTAATACATCTGTAAGGAAGGTCTGTAATCTAGGTCTGTAAAGGAAACCGAGCATTGTGTTAGCTGATAAACTGGAAGTATATTCCCCAGCACGGAGTTCCCAAGCCAAAACAAACTGGCTGACGCTCCCTTCCAGCCTATGCTACAGAGTACAAATTAAGCATCACCTCTAACGCTTCTACACGCCATTAATGGCTTTTCTCTACACCAAGATCCACAGACTGCTATTTTAACATTTTTTAAAATGGCCTAGAAAAGCCTATGAATTGAAAGATATATACTGAAGATCACCAGCACTGTATTATAGCAGTTCTACTCAAAATCCAGGGACAAAAATCACAAAATAGATCACAATTTCAGAGTAAAAACACTGTGCAGTACTTTCCACAGCTTCTTCATAGTTGGAAAAATCAAGGGTATGTGACATCAGCATAAACAAGAATGACTTTGTGCTGTGAAGAAATGCAAAATAATCTGCCCCTACAGCAAGCAGCAGAACCATTTCTTTATAAGATTAAGCACTGATCTGTCCCAAAAGACAGAGCCAAGAAGAGCCATGCATCTCCCCTGCTCTCTCCACCCACACAGTCCCAATATCCAAGAGAGCCACGCTTTTACTCAGCCCCGTTCACCGCATTTATTCTGTTCATATACGGCAGAGAAAAGAAGTTGCCCCCTGCATTCACACAGGTCTGAAGCAGGAAGTGACCCAGCTTTTCGGCTGTACTCATTTAGTGATCTGCTTACTGCAACAACATGGTGCTGTTTTTTCCTGCTTACCCGCCAAAAGTATTTTCTGTTCGCATTCTTGGGAACCGTATCGCTGGTATAGATCTCTCCTACCAGGGGTCCAAAGCGTGTTCCTTTTGGGATATACTCTTTGCTTATCACTCCAGTGACCTACAAAAAGAACAGCACAGGATCAGTCCATCTCCAGAAGAAGTTGAGAATTCCTCCTCCTTTTCCCCATCCTCAGATCTTACAAGGTAAAACACCCAATGCAACAGATTTTTAGTGACAGATCAGCAAAACGGTAATAAATTATCAACCACGTTTGATACGATATGAACAGCTCTGCTAGATCCTAACGTCTTACTGAGACATATGGATGCCAGCGATAAATACTGACTGAAAAAAGCGTTTTGTGGAAACATATATTTACAAGAAGAAACAGTAAGTGAAGCTTACAGAGTCTGTCAAACCCTTTCATAAGTTATTTCCCCTGTCAAAGGCAAACCTCAGAAGTCTAGTCCCACAAAACAAAAATACTCAATAACAATTGATCACTTCACTGCTAGACAGCCAACTTTTCTGTTGAGATTGGAATGCAACCTCCTCCTCTAGCCCAAAATGAAACCTCCCCCTACCCTCTTTTTGCTTGCTCTTCCTAATAGCTAAAAGGAGAACAAAAAAAAAGAAACCCCCCCCCCCCCCCCATTCTCTTCCCAGCATACAGTAACAAACAAAACAGAACACGAAATGGCTTTTGGACATGTACTCACAGATCACCCTTTTTTATAAAAAGGGGGCAGCAGTTCCGGTAACATATGTCAAGTGGGTTTGGTCAAAAAGACGTAAGGGTTTTGATAAAAAATGCTCCACTATGCTAGGTCTAAGAAATGTACTATAGTTGTTCAGCTTCCTTCTTGACAGTAATTATACCAAAAAAAGTCACTGACCACAAATCAGGAAGCAATTCATCATTATTCAGAAGAACGTGCCTTGGAGTAACCCTTTGCAAAACACTGCTGAGTTATTGGTTTTGTCTCTCTCTGTTCCTCACCAACCTTCTTAATTTTAACGTGTCCAAAAATACAGCATTTCGGCAACCAAAAAACAAGGCTTTGCAAGAGTGATCCTGCTGCTCAAATGGTGGAGAAAAAGGAAGGTAAAAGGTCCAGTCATTCGGTGGTCTAACCAAACCTCCAGGGCAAAATGTATCAACTGTATCCCTTTCACACACCTTGCTACTTAATAACTGTCTTTTTGCTAGGCAGAATTTCAGAAAAAGACAATAACAGCAGAACTTGTTGATAAACACGGAGAATAGAGATTATTGCTGTGTGTACTCTGCAAGGAATCACCATTCTTACCAAGGCAGATGTAACAGTCTAACAGTAAAAACCCTGGACTGTCGATAGCACTTGATAAACTTGCCAGGCCTTGTGATTTCCTCATGCTACGTTTTCTTCGGTCGTTTTACCACGAGTGTCAGAGAGGGAGAGATAGAGACATAAAAATACTTGTTTGTGTATTGGGCAAGTGAGAATTAGCGAGTTTCTACTGCCTGCTAACATTGCGAGAATACTCCAAAAGCCATTTGCTTTCTCGATTAAAAATCTCAGTAAACAACTAATGCCTAGCATAATTTTACATTAAATCTCAAAATAAGGGGGGAGGACCGATAACAGCCATAGAATCAAGGAGATAAGGCTGCTCAGTATAGGTGGTAGCTGTTTGTACTTGTCTGTGTTTTAACGTGTGTTTCAGAACGTTACCCAAAAAAATAAACTAAACATCAAGAGTAGAGGTAGTTAAATGCTCCATTGATCTGTGCATCTGGACTGAAGAGAGAGAAAAGGGACTTCCAGAAATTTTCCTACACTTACCACAAGCTGAAACAAGCTCAGTGCCTCAGTTTTATTTTTGTCTTGCTTGTACATTTCTCATAGAGAGCTGAAAAAGGCAGATGTTCTTCTCATCTTCCCCATATATCTTCATTTACATCCATCTGCCCTCTCAAGAAAAGTTCACAACCAAGCTAGAGCACACCCTAGCAGTTTTACTGCAAGGTAGATCAAGTTCTTTCACAGCTTTAAAATATCTTGGTCTTAATTAAAACAACTTTAATGAAATTCTCAGAATCTCTAGAAATCACTCCTTGAACTAGTCAACTTGAAACATTCACCGTACTGCCTTCTCTGACACAGCAGATACTTTTTGATATTTACCTTATATAGTACTTGCTTCTTCCACAATATGCAGAACATGAGCATAATTTGTCATCATGTAACTATCAGATTGTATTTGGGCAGAACGTACTACACTTGCACGTTAATGTTAAACTTTCATTAAATCAGACTAAAATCGTTCAGGCACTTTTCAAACGAGGGTGGCTTGCTGGGCAGAGGCCCGTTGCCTCTGCTGTGCCCCCAGACTCTCCACTGGCACAGCCGAAGGCGAGAGCTGCAGAGGAGGGTGCTGCCTGCGCAAGGCCCCCGCCGGCCCCTGGCGGACCGGGTGCCAAGACCCCGGGGCCTCCTGCCACACTGGGGCTTGGCGGCAGCGTTCAACAGGAGGCAACGCAGGACAGCGTTGCACAGGACTGCAGGCAAAGTGACAAGGAAACTCCATGCCCAGGGCTGAGGGGAAGTGGGCTGCTGGCTGCCGAAAAGCTGCCGTGGAGAGGCATTTCAGACTTGTGTCCACCAGGTGTCCTTCGGCACATGTCTGCCTCTCTGTGATGAGACCATCCCAGGCAGCCTCAGCACAGGGATGCGCTGAGGAGCATCAGCGTGGCCCTGCGCTCTCTCCCCACGGTCAAACTCCCATCACTCCTATGCAGCTGCTGCAAGCACGCCGGGCTGAACTATGACGGAAGAAAACAGCACACCATTTTCACAGGAATCTCCCTACTGAGCTTCTCCCCCCCTCCCCCCTTTTCAAGCTACAACCATCTAAAACCTTTCAGCATTGCTGCCAGCAGACTGCTAACACATATCTCCTTTTGGTAAAGCAACATTTCTCCCATGAAAGTCACATCTAACGTTATCTCGAAACTCCTGACTGGAGACCCCTTCTCCGAGCTGCACACAATTAGCGCTCCTGTCACGGTGAGATGCGCTAAACCGCTGTCACCACGGCCCGAGCCAGCGCGGTCTCCGCTCGGGCAGGGCGCGAGAGGGCTCCGGGGCCACCGCCGGACCTGCGGCGTGGTGGGAAGGCTGGCGAAGGCAGGGAGCACAAAGCCCAGGAAGGAGGCACCGCTGGAACTGACCAGGGTCCTAATGGCGCGCGGCGGGGCCAGGCGGCCGCCCGCCTCCTGCAAAGCCGGCAGCTCCCAGCTCCAACCTTTCAACACTTTCATGCTTCAGCTCCCCTCACAGAAGCCCGGCCAGGGGATGCTTTATGGGCCGCGCCGACCTCCCGGCCGCTTCGGCGGATCTGTCTTCGTCAGCAGGGCTGGGTCACGGAGCACATCCTGACAAGCCGCGGCTCCCAGACAAAAACCAGTATTGCTTAGGTTCTCATTTCGATATTAATAAACACTTTAAAAGGCCAGCACTCAGGCATCTTTGTTTAGGGAGAGGGCACTGGAAGGGAACAACAAGCCCTATTAATTCCCAAAGAAGAGGGTATTTTGCAAGAGGACCAACAAATTGCTTTACAAACAAACAAAACCCTGACTGGCTTCAGCGCACTATAAAACAACATTATTTTCCAAACGTAAATCAGGGCAGGCCATCAGTGTTCTGGAATAACGCTAATTTTTTTTTAAACTACTGGATCTGTAACTACATAAGCCTACATAAAATTGACCCTTTCATTTGGCTAGCAGTTTTCTAGAAAGAATGCCACAATGGAAAATGTTTTCAGATTGTTTCCTCTGTGATCATATATAAAAGGAATAAAACAAACCAAATACAAGACAGCAAGTGTACGAGGACATTACAGTGTATTTTACAACTGCTTCAGAATTCAATATCAGTTTCTAAAGAATGGCCTTGTCAGAAAAATGCAACAAGTAAGGGGTTTACCGAAATGTTTTTCTCTCTGTGAAAATCAAAGACCAGGATGCAGTACTAGTAATATTCAAGATCACAGAGCAACTGGGATTTTATATTAGGAAGGGCTGTTAGGTGTTTAAGGACTGAGGTCAAAAGGAAAAATTATTCAAAAAAAAAAAAGTCTTCAATTATTTGTGTGAAAAAGATTATTCACATGAAGTCTTGTAGAGTGTGATTTTGTCACTGTGTTTCACCATTTCTGTTAATCGTTAAAATTGGAGCAAAGGATAAATAACTCACACATAAAAATAAATAAATGACTTCATGTAAATCTAACAGCCTAAAATGTTACGAGCAATAGTAATTCATTTTTTAAAATGCTGACACATACTGGGAACTCATAATGAAAAACGCGTCCTTCACAAAAATCCCCAATCAAGGTCCAAGAAAAAACAAAAGTATGATGTGTCATGGAATCTCTTGCAAATTCAACAAATGTTTAAAGAGGAGCTACTGCCTTCGCAAAGTGGGCAGAGAACAGAAACACAAGAAACAGCCTCCCCCCCTCCAAGCAGCACTGATTGTACTTCCTCCCTCCTAGAGCAGACACACAAGTAGTTTTCCTGCTCTGAATGGAGATACAATACTAATCATGACAGCATTAGTATTTCATGATCTAATCATGACAGTGTTAGCATTTCACAAGCAATGTATTATGCGTTTTTGTCAATAAATTGACTCAGCGCTTAAAACTCTCGACCAGATGAAGCCACAGCTCTCCCTGAAGTTAACAATGAAGACAGCTCACATCTGAAATCCACTGGCGTACACGCGTACATGCACCCCCAAAGTCTTACCTCACCCTTTGCAAGCAAAAAAAAAAAAAAAAAAAAAAAGCCCTACCAAGTTGTCAGAACTCCAGTGATTTTACATTAGGTCAAAATCAGAGTTGAGCTCCCTTTCCCTTCTGTCCTCTCCTTCCTCTGACCCCACAAATACTTAAGTGCACAAGCAGCGGACACAGTTCTGACCCCTCTGAGCAGAATTAACCTTGTAAATCAGACAGAGGAATAAATACAGTGTTTCAAGTCAGAAGTTGTGAGAATGCCAGCTCATTATGCCATTTGCAACTATTTTACCCTGCAGAAAAGTCAGGAGCAAGTGACCTACCTATAAATTTACAATACTGTGGCTTTCATAGAAGGGAAAAAAAAAAATTCAGATCGGCTTTTTCTTTCAGAGCTGCATTAGAAATAAAGAGTCAGGATTCAGAAGTTCCTATTGCTCCTTACAGTAGGTGCTCTTTAGTGTAAATAAAAGAGAATGGGGAACTTTGGAGAACAAAAGGAGGATGTTCTCTATTCAGACTCCCACTAGCAGGGATCTGTATTGGTCATATTTTACAAGAAAGAACTAGGAACCTTTCAACAACTTTTATCTTCCCCCCCTCCCCGAGACAGAGATCACAACCCTGATTCACTGAGCTGAGCTACGGTCTAAGAAAATTATACGTTGGTGTTTCCAAACACACCACTGGGAATTTTAAAAGCTTCTCGGACTTCTCCTGTTGCAGGAGCCAAACTAAATCGAGGCAGCAGAGCAAGGAACTTGAGCAGCCAATCAGTTACCAGCCGGCTGCCTACGATTCGAGCGAGCTGCCTCGCCGCAAACTCATCCTTCAGCGAAGAGGTCGTTCTGTAGCGCGCGACGGAATTGCCGCTCACATCTCCCCCCAAAATAAGACTTCTCTAGCAACACGACAACACAAAACAAAGTTTCGCCCTTGTCTGCTAAGCGTGTCCTCTCTCTGCCAAGTTCTACAGGGCAGGGCAGGGCAGGAGGGAAAAGCAGAGCGATTTACACGGGAATTCAGCTTTAGCCTTTTACTAAACCTACCAGGTATTCTATTAAGCGTTGCCAAGCTCGATTCCCTGGCACCCGTACCCTCCAGCTGGGGGTCCAGCTCTATTTCTGCGTGCAGGATTAAACAAGTACCTCCTTTGGAAGGAATATGTGATAGACACGGATGAGTGTACCTCTTCTTTTCAGCTCTGTGGTCAGTGTGTTTAGCCAAAGTAGAAGCACAGGTAATTAGCTGCTATACCACAAGTCTCAGCACAAGGAGAAATGAAGGGTTGTCCCTTGGGTTATTACCCCTCCGAACATCACACCTAGCTATAATAGCTACTCTATATGAAGGAGTAAACACAACCAAATTGCTCATCCGGGCTCATTTCTTTCCAGCCCTTCTGAAACAACAACAAAGAATGTCCCCACTCCAGGGACAAGGATAGGACAGACTCGCATGTCTAGCTACCGCTGAAGATACTGTCCCAGATAAACAAAAGTTAATTTAAGCTACAGCCGTCCTCTGTGAAATTTGCTACAGTTTTACCGTCACTTCCTTAATCGATCTGCTGGAGTTTTTAAGAATTTAGGAAGTCAGGAACAAAGCAAGATTGTGAAAAGAATAAAGCAATTTCATAACCAAGGGGAAAACAAAAGGAATAATTAAACACATTTCCAGGAATTTGTTTTTTTTCTCTACTTTTTTTTTTAAAGCTATTTATTGGACAACTGAGGCACTTTAATCTCTGAGCCAGAGGCAATGAATGGTCCTGGCAAACAGCAGTCTAGAAGTTGGCACAGAGAACTACCCCACACTTTAAATATGCTTATTCAAATGCTGTTCAAATTGTGTGAGAATTTAACTGTTTGCGAATTGGTACAGAACCAGTTCAGGAATAGGAGGGCTAAAATTTCCAGTGAAAATACTGCACGACAGATGACCAGCTCACAGTCTCTTAAAAGAGTTATTGGGGCCCCATCTTGAAGGCCAGCAGCATTTGGAGGTGGTGGTGGTGGTGGTGCGTGTGTTAAAGAAGGGAAGGCAGGGTGAGCACACACTTCCCAAAGCACTGTGATTTGGCTTGTCTGACTCCAACCTTCCCCAGAGCGCTGTCACTTACCTCTTTGCAGTTAGATGCGTATTTGAAAGTCAAGTTCCTTGGCAAGGAAGCCTCTGCCTGAGTTAGGGTGCCTCCATCGGCGCTGGGATCCCACGGGTGATCTTTTACAATGTAGGTGCATTTCTCTTCAAAATCGGCTTCCGTCCACTGGGTCATATCAGCATCCTCCATGTCCATTTTCATTGTCCACTCTCTCCCTTTCACCAGATCCTTGAAACTCACAGCGTCCGAGCTACACTGTGTAGCAGCCTGGAAAATAAGAAAACAGCCTTTAATCCTCATTGTCCTTCAGTGTTGTGGTTTCCGTTGAGACAGCGTGACTAATACAGTAGTCTGTGACACTTTAAAAGCGTATGCAGGATAGCTGGTACAGTTGAGTAATAGCCAAAAAACAGTATAAACTAAGCTGCTCTGACTGAAGCAGTGCCTTAAAATGCCAGTCTCGGTAATAATAAAGAGGGAATAAAAACAAAGAGGAGAAAAATCCCGAGGCTGACAACTGCGTTACCTTTTTCAGCCCCTTCGCTTAATGCCTCAGATTAAAAAAAAGTATTCCATGCTGAAGAAAACGTGGGGTCATGGCCGCAAGACCACTTAGTTGCCTGTGGAAAAGCTGCCTCAGAAAAGTGTCACAAACAAGGAGAGGAAGAGGAAAGGAGCTGCTGTCTGCGTCTGAATGAAGCTAAAAATGGAAAGCGCATGTTGGAAGAGC